CGGCGGCGAGAGCGCGTCCCGTGCCGGTCTCCAGGAGCCGCCGCCGCCGTTCGCCAACATGGCGGACCTGGAGGCCGTGCTGGCCGATGTCAGCTACCTGATGGCCATGGAGAAGAGCAAGGCGACGCCGGCCGCCCGCGCCAGCAAGAAGATCGTTCTGCCCGAGCCCAGGTACGGCGGCCCCGGCCCGCGCCGCCGCTCCCCTCCCCCGCGGCCGCTGGCCACTCCCTCGTCCCGTCCCGGAGGGTCGCGGGTCGGGCGCCCCGCCGCCCCCAACCAGTGACCTCACCGTGCTGGTCCCTGAAATGGGACTGCGAGGGCTGTTGGGAGCGCGCGGCAAAGTGCTCGGCGCGCGGCGTGCGCTCCGGCTGAGAGGCTGGGATGTGGTGGTGACCTGGCTGGACCAGTCGCGTCCATGCCGCCCTCCCTGCCCCATCCCTGCTCATCCTTCTAGTTTCATCCCTACGATCCTCCCTGTTCCGTTGCTGTGGCTCCCTCTTGCCCCATCCATGAGCTGCGGTCCCATCTCGGTCACTCCTTCTGCCCCATCCCTGGCCTCCCCTCTGACCCCATCCTTCGTCCCTTATACTCCGTGCTTGTCATTCCCTAGAGCGCCACCCTGGTCCTTCCTTCCTGGGTGCCTGGTGCCCTCCCTGCTGCCCTCCTTTCCAACTCCAGCCTCTTCTTTCTCTCTCTGACTTCTGAGATGGAGAGTGCAGGCTTGGCTGGTCTTTTGTCCCAGGTGCTTCAACTGCGTGCTCCTAAGGACTATCTGTCTAGGAATCTTCCCAGTCTCCTCTCCTCTCGTACCGGGGCAGGGCGGAGTGGGTTTTGACCCACTCAGTTTTCAGTTTGAGTACGAAGTGTGTCACCTGAGCAGCATCCCTCAATTTGCACATCTTCTGTGGCACTTTCTTAAAACGTTGAAATGAGTTTCGTTTGAAAACGTTGAATGGGGCGACGACAGGAATTTAGTGTTAAATCACCTGAGGGGGCCCCCATGGAATTGGCGAACAAGTTGTCATTTTCTCTCAAATGATTTATTACTTATTTTACTAAGAGTCTGATTAGTTTTAGGGTTTTACTAGTATATGTTATTAGCAGTACCACATGTTCGTGAGGTCAGTAGTTTCAATGAGCGTGCCAGAGCATCATTGTTGGGTTTACTTTTCTAGCTCGTTTTCTGATGAACACCATCGTTAGTTATACAGCTAGTGTGGCACAGTGATGCAGAACAGCTCTCGGTGGAACCCCCGGTAAAAAGAGGCATCATCTTTACAGTGAATTTGAAACCTTTCAATTCTGTAAAATGTTGGAATCTCAACCAAAGCTGTTCTGTGTTTGAAATCAAGATTGCCCTACTGCTGCCTTGATAGAAGAAAAAAGAATCATTGGTTCCAGGTGATCACAGATTATTTTCCGCAGGTGCATTCATGAGTCCCATCATACAGAAAAACATCAACTTTTGAGTTCTTTTTTTTTTGGTGACAAGTCAAATTGTGTAAACGAAAACGTGCTAGCTGGGTATTTCTTGGCCTCTCGTCTCTCCACGCAGGGTGCGTGGCTCTTTGATAAGCAATCAAGTGGTGAGAATCAGGGAAAAGTGCAGACCTTTGTGGAGCTTAGAACTTAACATATCAGATACTAATTGAAAACTCAGGGCTGTTTAAAATTTCTGGCACGTGGGAAACTTACTTAGAGAGCAAGAACAAGGTTCCCCCAAATCAAACTTGAATTCCATTTTAAAAGCGACAAAACTACATTTCTATACATATGAAAGAAAGTGCTTAATTTCTTTTTTCTCCTCCTTTCCTCTGACCCCTCCCCAAGCAGGGAATCTGAAATATGTACAGTTTCTATATAAAACGTCAATAAATCTCAACTCGTGCAGTTTTTTTGGGGGGGAGAGATATATATTACTAAAACTAGGAACTACTTTTTTTTTGGCATTTTGAACTTAATGTGACTTCTGCTTTTTAGGGTCTGTCCTAAGAACGACAAACTTACGTGCTTAGGGCATTCGCTTCCCTGTATAAATGCCGTTGTGTTTGGATGGTATTCTGTGGTGATGCTTTCTTTTTGAGAGAGAATTGGTGATAATGAGCTTTATTTTTCCTGCCATTTTAGAATTGACAAACGTCAACTGGAGAGTAATTGTAGGAAACAGCCCTTTGGTAATTGTTATCTTGTTACTATTTTTCAAATGGACTCTCGAATTTGCCATTGGACCCTTCTCCTGGGATTCTAATTCGTGTCATATTTGTCTTAAAGGCTTTGGCTTTAGTTTTGTAATACAACCATTTGCATAGCAACAGTCAGTCCTTGTGCTGAGTTAGGATTCTGTTGCATTGAAATTATCAGGTAAAGCATCTTGTAAACAGGCGGCCTGGTTATTTTAGGAATGGGGGGCCAGTTTGGAGGATTTCTAGATCCCATAAACAAGTTTATTTCATGTTAAAACGCCTTAGCATTAATGACTTAGAAAGCTAGTATGACTTCACTTTGTTGGTAAAGGATGCGGTCAGATCTTTTCTGATAAGAGTTTCTATCTCAGCTTCATTTTGGAGTGAGCCACGTGATCACCAATCTTTCGTGTTCTTGAAAAAGATATTTAGATTTTGATTCCTTGTATTTCAACGAGAAGCATACACTTCACTTGCCATTGGTCTGTCAACATTGATTTTTGATTTCCAGTTAATCATTTGTAGTCAGTATAATAATATTCTTTATTTTAGATTCTTTGCCTTTTCCGTAGTATTAAACAGAAAAGCAGCAGAACCAGATGCTATCAGGTGAGTTTAAATGGAACATCAGTCTGCCCGGGCACTGCCTCCTGTGCCTGTTACAGGAGTCTCAGAAAGTAGAACATTCAGCCCAAGGCAGATTTTGCTTCTCTGAGCTGGCAAGAAGCAAACATTTTGTTATGTTGACACATTATTCAATTAATGAACCAATGAGCATAAATCCTGTAAAAGCTGATTGTTTGTTCAAATTATATAGCTACTCTAGTTGACTGAAACATTTGTTGAACTAATGGGGCTGATAATGGGACCTATTGGGAATGGTAAACTGACCTGGAGACTTAATCACTGTGTAGGACCAGTTAAAACAAAAGCCTTGAATGTGTGTACCAGTTGTACTCCCATGTTAGAAAAGAAACACTACTTTGATTTAAGTGGGACCCAATTTATAAGCAAGGCATACATAAACGGTCAATGACTTAAGCCTGAGTATCATTAAGAGACCTTTCCCTTAGGTTCCATTACCCTGTTAGCCTTTTTCAAACAGTATGAAATTGAATTGACTTGAAATCACACATAGTTGAAAGAACTTGAATGACCCAAACATGATCATTTCCCTGGAGGTTTGTCTTTGTTTTTTTTTTTAAGACATTGAAAATTGTGCTTTACCTATTGTGAAGCTTGTTAGGTCAAGTACTCCTATGCTAATAGGAAGATCTGAGAAGAAGGTGGCTAAATATTTATACTGTTACTGTTTATTATCCTAATTCAGTGCATAGTTGCAGAGCCATTGCTGTGAGCTAGGGAGGGGGCACACTATGCTGAACCCCAGCACAGCCACACACAAACATTGAGCCAAGAAAGATGCATGCTTTCAAGTACAGCTGCTGGAAGATTCTGTTTAACTACCAGTATGGACAAGTAGCATTTGGATGACTTTGATGACTCTTTATTTATAGAACACATTGTTTGCAAAGTGTTGATAATTTCCTTTGAAGAACTATCCAGACATGGTCAAATAGTAATATGGTAGTATGCATTTTCGTTTTTGTAAGCCTCCCATGTGCTGTAGCAGTACAGCTTCCTTCTTCTGTGGAAATGGAGTTTATTCTGTAACTTGCTAGCTAATCAGTGAGCAAATGGTGGATAAGTTGAAATAATCATCCTCTCTTAGGTTTTAGGGTGTTCCATGATGGCACCCTCCTGTACCCACAACCTAACATGGAACTGAAAAATAGGTGTTAAAAGCATACATAGAGCTGGGGACATGGCTCAGTGGTACAGCACTTGGCTAGCGTTTGTGAGGCCCTAGGTTCAACCCCAAGAACTGAAAGGAAGAAAAGAATACCCTCTAGGAAGAAAAATCTATCTATCTATCCATCCGTCTTTTGAGAGAGGATCTTGTATGTAGTGCAGGCTGGCCTCGAACTTGTGGCCATCTTCCTGCTTCAGCCTCTCGAGTGCTAGGATTACAGACACATGCCAAACCTGGCAGAAAATTCTCTTTATTACTGATAAGAGTATTTCTGTGTCTAAAATAGCAGAGGCGTTCTTACTTCTTGTTCGCTAAGGTACACTTTCAAAAGGTAATTTGTTCTGACCTTTCAGTTATTATTTTGTTCTTGGTCAAAGTTAATTTGTGCCAGTGTCTTGAAGCTGCAAGGGCTGCCTGGAGCTGCTAGTTCTTAGAAACAGATGTTCCAGTGTCATCAGTGTTGGACCTAACTTGGCCCCAGTCGAGCATTGTGAAATGCTTTGAATTGAGGGCTCTGTGGATGTCTTTGAGGTACGGGCAGTTCTGGCTTTTACACAGTCTGTTCTTAGAGACTGCCTCTTCAAGTGCTTCCCCAGTACATTGAAGTTGGCTTTGGCAGACATCCGTGTGAGCAAGAGTGGGAACCCTCAAAGGGAAGACAGTGCAGGTCTTTTCCAGTCCTTGGAGGGGTGGCGAGCAGGTTAGTGAGCAGTAGTGGATGAGGAGCAGGCCTCCTAGGGGCTGGTAAGGGAAGGAGAGGCCTAATGTCTATGATGTGGTGACACAGCAATTGCCCTTTCCTGAGAGCTTGTCTTCTCTGCCTGGCAGTTCCTCTAGACCTACCAGGTGAACAACATTTGCCCACTTTACAGAAGGAGTGGTTGGCTGCAGGGGAGGTAGAGGAGTAAGCCCAGGTAGTAGCAGATGGCAGCAGAGACGAGCTGGAAGCCTGGGTATCCCCAGCCCAAGTTCTTCCCACCTTGCAGAGCCCCTTAACCAGAGCAAGTGGCATGCACCCTTGCTTCTTATTCTGCAAGGGATGGATAAAACTGAGACTTTATTATTTGGGGACAGACAGTCTCAGTCAGGCCTGTCCTCAGAGACTGATAAAGAACAGCAATTCCTCCGGGACCTGTGAAAACAGTAATTATGACTAAGTGAAAAAGCAGTTGGTTCCTTATTTCCCATGAGGAGCGTGAGGGTTAAATGCTTGTTCTGTTTAACACAAGAAGTGCAATCTTGCTGGTGTTAATGAGAAATTGTATGATAGAACGTCTTGTCTTCCCAACAGCATTTCTTTTTGTCTGGGTTTTTATTCAGAAAGAAAAGGGACCCTAACCTGCCCCTTTCCATTTTGGGAAAAGAATAAAAAGGAAAAACAAAATGTTTGGCTTTATTTACAGTAAAAATCACTTTCTCATTCAAACAGTCTTCCTTTGTTAATAAAATAATCTATTTGAAGACCACCTGAAAATGTATTCTGTAAGCATGATTATCTTTGTCCTTAGTCTCTGGACACTGGCGGTGAGGAAATGGAAATGGGGAATCCATCAACTTTTACTGTTATTAAATCATTTATATCATATGTAACTTGCGTGCATTTGGGGCTGAGTATCCCAGGCCTACCTCCTGTTCTGTATTTCTCACTTCTTTATTTTTTCTTTCTATTTTTATCATTGATGAGAAGTTGGAACCCCTGGGCCTTTTTTGATTATTCTGTGGGTCTAAAAAAATGCAGAAGTAATAAGTTGGTTCCTCATAGCCTGTAAATGTCCCTTCTAATTTTGGAAATCTTCTTTTGGGTTATCTATGCCTTGGCTGGAGCATAAGCATGTGTTAGTAGTTTTAGTGTATGACATAATAGAAAAAGTTCAGCAGAGAATATCATGACAGTATTCTGCCTCTTAGATACTTGGTAACTGGTGGTTGGTAGAGGTCAGTGTGGACCTGGCCTTGAACTTGTATTCTTGTTTGCTAACTTTTACTTCTTCAAGGGTCTCAGGGACAGGAAGAGGTGATTTTATGGAAATGACCAGACAGAATCCTGGGTTGTCCATTGCTGGGCCCTCCTTTTCCTGAGCCATCCCTACTGCCTGCCATACTATAGTAAAAGAGAAGGTTCTGGATCAGAAGCCAGCGCATACAGATCTAATTCCACTGGTACCTTGCCATGAGACTTTGGTAAGTCATTAAAATTCAATGTATTTAGTTTCCCCATCTATAACATATATCTGTTCATTTCAAATCATAAAATGTCCTGGTAAAAATCTCTTCCACGCATTTTTTATCCATACCTTTGTAAATAGTGAAAGACATTAAAGATTACACATGCTGAATTTCAGACAGATAAGAGAAAAAGATTGGAGGAAATATTAGAAGGTATGATTCCTCTTGACACCACTTGGCATGGTTGCTAAGGCTGTGTGTGATGTAAGTGCACCTGAAAACCATACAAAATGGTAGCAGAGAGGAGGCAGTATTCTGAGGAGACCCTGACCCTGTGTGCTCCTCAAAAGTGGATTAGGATGGGATCTTTGGAAAGTTGGAGTGCTGGCTGGCTGGGACGGAGAAGAACAAGGGTTGACCTCGGACCCTTATGTAGGTGAATTTCCCATATTTCTCCTTGGTTTTCTTCTTCAAGCTGTTTGCTATTGCATTGTGTGTCTGGAACCTTCCCTACATAATACTTTACCTAATTCCTTTTCTTCCTTCTTTCCTACTTCCATCCATCCGTCCATCCATCCATCCAGTGGACACTGGGCGCGGATGGTATCAGTGCTTGAGAATTCCCAGGCATGCTAGTCTTGAGTATGTGCAACCAGGCAATTAGGAGGGCTGACTCATTCCCTAGAGGTCTTTTCTTCAGTAACATGAACGGAAAGTCATAATGCAAGCGCAGCTGGCTCCAGTATATTCAGCAGAAGGTGATTCATCCTAGTTTTCCTTAGACATTAACGATTGCATATTAATAGCCTAAGGTCGTAGTATCTCGTGTTTGCAAGGATCTTGGCAGGCATCCAGTGGAGTCACACATTGATGAGTGACTTCCCTCAGGTATCCACCCAGGGCACCTTTGATGAGCATCTTTGAGAACTGTAGTCTTAGAAAGCTATACTGTAATACATTCTGTGTACTGAGCTCTTGCTGTCCCTTTATGATCCTGCAAAACAAGGCCTGTCCCTCACCAATGTGAAAAATCATCCTACATTTGAAAGGCAGCTGCCCTGACCCCTAGTGGCTTTTATAGGAGGCTGTCCCAGAGTCATTCCTTGTGCTGTATTCTGCCGGAGTCTTCATACTACTCTGTAATCTACTTAGCTCATCAGTCAGAACATTACCCAGCTAAGTAAGAACATTAAAATTCATGATTACATCCAAAAAGAGATTTGTAAATTATTATAATTAATTTAGTAATGACAAAACTAGTAATAAACCTTATTTCAAGTGTACGGTTGAATCCATCTAAAGTTCCATTTTAGGGGGAACTGTTTTTGCCCTTTGATTTAAAATTCATGATGGCAGTTTGATTAGGAGTCAGTGTTTACCTTAGCCAGAGTTGAGAGTGAGGGGTTACATGGGCATCAGGACAACTCTGGCTGCTGAGTGCTGAGTATATGAGCTAAAATATTTTAGGAAGAAGGTGAGCTTTAATTATGCTGCAAAGTAACCTGCTGAGGATGTCAGGGGGTATGGTTCCTTTATTCCAAAACATGAAATCTTGTAGCCAGGAAAGACAACAGATGTCTTTAATTTCAGCGATAATGCATTCTTGAATAATATTTTTGAATAATGTACTCTTGATATTTGTGCTTTGTGTGATTAAGTCATCCCACTGATCTTTATTATCTTATATAGGTAACATAAGTTGAGTTAGATTTTCAGAATGTTTTTACTAAACTGTCTGCATCTGTTTGCCTTTGATAAGAGTTTAAGTTAAAAATGAATAAAATTACATAGATTGGCCTTTACACAGCTGTTAAATACAGCAAGCTTTCATTTTGCTTGGTGAATCTCTAAGGCTGTGATGGTATTTTAGATAAATCTTCTTTTAAAAATGTGTGGGGGCTAGGGATACAGTTCAGTAATAGAGCTCTTGCCTAGCATGCACAAGGCCCTGGGTTCCAACACCAGCCAAAAAAAAAGGCATTTGACAATAGTGGAACTAATCCTAATGGGTAAATAAAGTCAAGGGTCTTTACATCTTTAATGTGGTCTTACACTTTTCTGCTAAATGTACTCTTTTTTATGTTATAAGGATACCCTAACTGGGAAAGGAGTTAGGCAAAAAATCTTGTCATCACATTAAGTATAGAAGAAAGTGCAAAGTATTTGTGGTCTCTGTTGTATTCCATTTTGGGCCTGCTTCCTTCTGGGTTTTTTTTTTTTTCTGCTGGTGGTAGAGAAAAGACTATTATTTATGTAAAACAACCCAAATAGAATCCAGATTAGAATTGGTATAGCAAGGACAAGTTACTTCTGCAAAGATACTTAACCTTGACTTTGCTGCCTCCTCCCCACTGAAAACTCTTGAGAGTTTTTGCGAGCAGGATGTTTTGTTTTGTTTTGTTTTACTGGGGATTGAATTTAGGACCTTCATACTGAGCTACATTCTCTACTCTTTTTTATTTTTTATTTTGTGATAGGGTTTTGCTAAGTCCTTAAGTTGTCCAGGCTGGGTTTCAACTTTTGGTCCTCTTGCCTCAGGCTCCCAGAGTGCTGGGATTACATGTGTATGCTACGGTGCATGCCTGGCTGTTAACAAATATTTTTTTTAGGGTTTAATCATTTAGATGGTTGGCTTTTAAAACCCCATGTGGAAAACTAGCCAGTATCTCTGCATTGCTGCCCTTTAAATAAAATGACCTGCTTGATGCTTATCTTAGTTACTTTTCTCTTGTTGCTAAGACAAAATACCCGACACCTAAAGTTAAAAAGGGAAAAGTTTATTTAGCTCACAGTTTGTAGAGGTTTCAGTCTATAATCGACTAACTCCAAGGCAGGGTGGCACATGGTGGAGGAGCAACGGTTCATGGTTGTGGAAGACAGCAAAAGCAACAAGAGAGTTTAACAGCCTCTTTATGCCCCTTTTATATTGTATCTAGACTGCTGGGATTAGGGCAGTGCCAAACCAGTCAGTGGACTGATTTAGCAATCACATACCCTTAATCCCAGCATCACACACTCTGGACTCAGCCATCTCTAAAAAACCTAAGACTCCATGAGGCTTTGGGGGAACATCTAGACATAAACCATAACAATGCTGTATCAGTGTTTTGAATTATTTAAGAAATTTTTTGAATTTCAGTGTTTTGAATTATTTAAGAAAAAAAAATCAGGTTTTCTTTATAGGAAAAACTTATTTTGGTGGAAATCCTTTCAGAGTTCTAAGATAAGCATTATAATCTACGGTTATCTCATGACCGGCTGGAGTAGCAGGCATGATAGTAGACCAGATAGAAAAAGGAAGACACGTATGAAGTACATGGCGTTTCTAACCTGAACTAGGAAGCAGGCTCCAGACCTGGGGTGTCATTGGTCAGAATCATGATGATTGTGATGTGAGGCCGAGTTGCAGAACTTCTCTTTAGATCTGTAAACGGACATGTTAACTTGTCAAACCCAGTGACAGTTTATTTCATGTTTGTACCATAGATTTGAAGTTAGCACTGATTCATTAATTAATTAATTAGAGACAGATTTGTCTTGAATTCCTGGATATGAGTGATACTCTTTTTTTGTTTTAATTCATTCATTTTTATTTTTGCAGTTAATTTTCTTGGTACATTTTAGATTTACATAATGATCACATTCATCATAGGAAATTTATACCTGTATGTAATACATCTTGATTCTTCTTTTTTCCCCAACCCCTTCCCCTCCAACCGCTCTCCCCCTCCTTATTTACACAAAACTATACTCATGTCTATCTTTATTTCCATTTTGTCCTTTTATTTTTTCCTTTTCTTTCCTCCCTCTGTTCCTTGTTACCCTTCGCGTTTGAACATTTTCTTCCTATTCCCAATGTCTATTATATATTTTGGTCCTTATTTACCCTTTCAGTTTCCCACACCAGAGAAACAATTCAATATTTAAACATGTATGTCCTATTTATTTCACGTAGGAGTATGGTGTTAAGGTGTATGCATTTAGCTAGAGATGTCTCAAGTTTATACTTCTTCTTTATGGCAGAGTAGTATTCCACTGTATAAAACCTTTGTTTTCTTTATCATTCATCTGTTGATAGGCATTTGGGCTATTTCCAGGTATTACAAACTCTGCTGTTACATTGTTAGCTATTACAAACTCTGCTGTTATAAACATAGGTATGCATATATCTGTGTGGTATAATGTATTTAATTCTTTCGGGAAGATACCAAGAAGGGGAATAGCTGGGTCGAACTGAACCTCTAGTTTTAGTTTTTGAAGGAATTTCCACACTGATTTCCACAGTGTTTGCACCAATCTACACTCCCACCAACAATGGAAAAGGGTTCCTTTTCTTCCACAGCCCTGCCAGCATTTGTTATTGATTGATTTCTTGATAATAGCCATTATTTCTGGAGTGAGATGGAATCTTAATGTTTTAATTTGCATCTCTAAATGACCAGTGATTTTGAACATTTTTTCATATATTTATTTGCCATTTATACTTCTTTATCTGAGAAGTGTCTATTCATTTCAGATTCTCATTTTTAGATTAGGTCTTTTTCTAAAATTTTATTTTAAAAATAAAAAATAATACAGAATTTCAAAACAAGATGATAGGAAATTAACAATAGTTATTATATGGCATATTGTTATCTTCAAAGCAGTTGCTGAGATTACCAGATATAAACATGTAAGACTGATCAAGCAATATAAACACTAACTGCTCCTTTCAATGAACTAATAGAAATTAGCAGTAAAATTATCTTAGCTATCATCTACAAACAACAAACTTACTGAGAGAGAAATTAGGGAAACCATACCCTTCACAATAGCATCCAAGAGAATGAAGGACTTAGGAAGCAATCTAACAAAGGAAGTAACAGGTCTATACATTAAAACTTACAGTATTCTGAAAAAAGAGATCAAAGAGGATTTCAGAAAATAGAAAGATATTCCTTGCTCATGGATAGGAAGAACCAACATTGTGAAAATGACCATACTCCTAAAACTGTTATGCAGATTTAATGCAATCC